GGGGGGGCTCTCACAGCCTCCGAGCCATGCCCTATGCAGTCACATGGAAGGCTGTGTCCCCAAGGCCTTACAAGAGCCTCCCCCTTGCCCAGTGTTCACACCAGGCCTCTCAGCCAAGCTTCGGTCAGTGCTCTTATTTGCCCGCCTCTTTCCTTCCGTGAAAGCTGCAAATAACTGTACTACTTGCTGTCAGGGCTCCGTCTGGACTGTGAACAACTTGGTGGCGCCGTGGCTGTTCTCCTTGGGGCTTTGTGGAAGCGTCCTGCCGCAGGTCTCCCACTATCTCAGGGAGGAGTCACATCCAGTGATTCTTGCACTTTGACCATTGTCCCTTCTGGAGAAGGAAAGTCCTGGCAGGGGTGGGGGGGGGCGGGGAGGAGATGGGATCTGGTTTATCCTCAGGAGCAGGTGACAGACAAGCTGGCGATAGAGTCAAACTGGAGCTGGGACCCCAGGCAGTTTTTAGGAAATCCAGACCTGGACACATGGGGTGGCTGGACACATGGGGCTTTCAGACAGAGGCCCCGGGGGTGGCGGCTGGTGGAGCAGGCTGGGGTCCCTAGGCCCGGAAGGGCAGAGATGGCTGCACACAGCAGGGAGTGGCTGGAATGATTCAGAAGAGCTGGGACTGCCCAGACTGGAGGAGAGAAGCCATGTGTGGGGATGGTCATCCAAGTCTTAATTGAAGAAGAGAGCAGGGATGTTCTCAAGGACAGAGAGGAGCTGAGGCAGCAGTCTAGGGTGCCCCTGGGTTGTTTTCAAGGAGCCTCCTACAGAGAAAGAACAGAGTTTGGTGTAAGGTATTGTCTCTCCAGCACCAGAAGCCCCCCTGCTTGGGGAGGGGGTCCCCACCCGCAGTGTAAGCAAGGTCCGACCTTGCTTACAGCTTCCGCTAAGAAGCCCAGACCCAGAACCTGCCTCCCGACGGCTGCCCTTGCCTTCCACTGCCTCTCCAACTTCCAACTGGTCCTCTCATTTTCTCAAGTGCAAGTTCGTATCCCCCCTGGACCTCCCCCCCAACACTCTGCAAGCTGTGCCACAGCGGCTTGAATTGCTTGAATTGCCCCCACGAGATCCATCCCCTCTCACCACTGCTGCCGTGACTCACCTGTCTGCAGATCCTCAACTGGTCCTGCATTTTTAAAAATCTCCAGGGAACTGCCATGCGTTAGCTTCTCTTAGGTATATCCCCCTTGCCTCCCTGCTCTTCCCGGTGAAGTCTTGTTTGTCCTTCAAGTCAGCCTAAGACTAAGCTTCCTTCCTGTGCTGCCATCACAGGCTGGGCCAGGTCGGTGGCAGGTGCCCCTGGCTGAGCCTGTCACAGCACACAATACACTGCATTTCCTTCTCCTGAGAGCCCGTGACCTCCTCTCCCCGCCACCACACTGTACATTCCAAGAGGCCAGAGTTTACCTACGTACCTCTCTCAAGCTGATGCCCAACCAATATGTCTTGAAAGAATGGATGGGTGGATGATGAGAAAGTGCTGGGAAATCCCTGTAATAATTTAGGAAGTCTGTGCTAGGGAGTTAAGCCCCCTTTCTAGCATGTTCTGGAGCTTGTCCCTGGGCCCCAGACAGGACCCCTGGGCCCACTGTTCAGACAGCAAGGCCAAGCAGTGAATGGGTTTTGATCACCAATAGGGTTATGAAGAGGGGCGAGGATGACCTCCCAGACAGCTGGCCCTGCCCTTTGCCCCGGCTGCTGGGGTCCAGGCAGGGCCCAGGCGGTGTTCTGGTAATAAAAGGGATGTGAGGCTCATTTGGATGCAGTTACCGAATAACCTCTTCCCTGAGTTACTTTGTCTGAGTCTCCATGCCTAGCTCTTTTTTTTTAATTAACATGAAAATTGCCTTCCTAACCATCTCTAAGTATACCCTTCTATACTGTAAAGTATAAGCATTACTTTGCAACCAATTTCCAGAACTTTTGCATCATGTAAAACTGAAATTCTAAATCCATTTAACAACAACTTCTCCTTTTCCACCACCCCCTGGCACCCCCTTCTACCTTCCTTTCTAGGAATTTGCTACCTCGTAGTGTAACAGGTACAGGTTTCACGGACTCCGCCCCCACTCCATGCTGGAAC